TGGTTCAGAACAAGCAACTCTACGTCCCTCCGAACGATAACCTCCACTGGGCATCGCTGCTAAATGAGATGGTGGGAATACGTGGATCGTTAAGAGCTCAGAACTGGCAGCAACTTGCGAAAAAACGTAACATTGGGGTGCTATGACAACAGCGATCGGATTTGGCTTCTGCTTGCTGCGGCTGCTTCAGACAAAACACCTTCGCATGTTCCTGCGTGAACAACTCTCGTTGTTTCCCACACCACCCGGTAACGCTCGTGTGCGCGCGCCCCCGCGCCGCGTCTGCCCGAGGAGTCGCGCGAGGGGGAACTCGGGGAAGCTCCGCTGAGGACGAGGGCCCCCTTGGGGCCCCGCGCCAATCACAGCACCGCAAAGGCAAGGCCCTTGGCCCACGGATCAGGCCCTTGGCCAACCACGGCCCCCTTGAGGACATTATCTTCGCACGACCCCACATCCCCCACCGTCTCAGGGCCAACCGCGCGGCGCACGCAACCCTGCATCACCGGCGCTGATCTCGGTGGTGGTTCGGGCGAGTCGCGGGGGCGATGTCGCGGTTAAGCCGGAATCTCCGATTCAGGGGGCGCCAGCCCATCCGCACCGACCCCGTGACATTTAGGTTTCCATCTGGGCGGCCTGGGCAAAGCCTGGGGGCCTTTTTGATGGCCACTTGGGGGACTCAACAAGAAAGCATGTCTTGGGAAGCGACTAGCTGCCTGAATGTCTGGCCCTTCCCTTCTCACTGGGAAGGAAAGGTCTGGGACCGAAGGAAACCAGCTCAGGGTTCAATCAGCGCCCTCTTGCGGCCCTTTTGGCGCCAAGAAAAAGGCTTTGCGGCCACCCCCCAGAGCCTCCAGAGGACCGGCCAAGCCCTGCGTGGGGGCAAAGTCGCAGCAGGATGCAAACCGCAACGACAATGTAACTAACTTCGGCGCGGTGGCAAGTCACGGCCAACGCAAAGACCCGAAACAGCATGCGCACACGGTGGCGACATAGGATGCGCCATAACCGACGACCCTGAAACGCACGCTGTTTTGGGAAACCCTGCGGCAACAAAATGCGGCTGCTTTCCCCGCCGCCCTGCCCCTCCCGGGAGGGGGTCTTTTTCTGATGTGCGCCGGCGTGCATCAGTCAAGGTTAGCGTGCCTGCGCGCTTGGCCAACAACGAACTCCTCTGGCAGTGTCAGGGCGCAGTTCTTGCCCAACGGAATGCGCCTTTGTGCATTCGGCGGGCGCAGACATGGACGCCCACTGCGCCGTTGCCTGGTCGATGTGAACCCAGGCGGTCTTGATGGAAGCCCAGCGCCCCAAATCGGTCGTACTGTGGTAAGACTTGCTGGTGGCAAACTGCCACGTGGCCCCACCGCGTCGAAGGCGACATGGAACGAGGTGCGCACGGCCGAAGTCGAAGTCGAAGAAGGCCGCCAGCTGGGCGATGTCGCCCAGGAGGTTCCTCGAACTGCCTGGACACGCCAAGTCCGCGGATTCCAGATTGGCCGTTGCCGCCGCGACGAATTCCACGACCACCCGCTCATGGACGAGGAGCTGCTCGGCCAAGCCTGCACGCCTCGCCCTTGCTACCAGGGAGCACCACGGCCACGGCGCCTCCACGGTCCACGGCGGCGAGCTGCTCGACGCGGAGGCCGGAGACCTCGCGTGTACGCGACAACCCCGCAAAGCCTAGCAGAAGCCCAGCTGCCAGCCTCGGTTTTGTCCCTAGGCTTAGGTCGGGCATGTCCCCCTACAGGGGGATTTTGGACGAACGATTGACGATACCCCAATAATAATCATAATAATAATAATAATAATAATAATAATAATAATACTAATCATCATAATAATAATAAATAAATAAATAAATAAATAACTAATAATAATAATAATAATAATAATAATAATAATAATAACAATAATACTCATAATAATAATAATAAACAAAGATACTAATGATGATAATAGTACTAATATCAAGTATTATTATTATTATTCTGATTGTTATTATAACAATAATAATAATAAGCATACTAATAATAAGAAGAATAACAAACAACTGGACAAATCGTCCCAATACTATGTTTAAACTATTTTTGAATATTCCTCCTGTAGAGGGACACGCCCGACTTAACCCTAAGCAGTGCCAGCGCCACCGTAGCCAACAGGAGGTCGTGCGGCAGAGGCGCGGCGCTGCCTGGCCGCAAGCGTTCGGTCCAATTCCAGCGGCAAAGCTTCGCTGTTTCGAATCTTCCGCGGCACCTGGGGTGGAGTCGGCGGATCGGGCGTTGGCAGAACTGGGTTTAGTGGGACCTGGTTTAGTGATGCGCACTGCGGGGGGCGCCCCCCCCCCCCACCCCCCCTTCCACTAACCAGAACTGCCGTCGCCCGAAAAAACACCAGCTACGGCAGCGATTCTGGCCAATTTAGGGGGCTCCGGGGCCCTGCCACTAACTGGGTCCCCTTGCCTGGGGTCCTGGCTACACCCGACAAATAAGAAGTCGACTGCGTG